GTAAGTTACAGAACAATGATCCCATTTACATAAATATATTATAAGTGTGCATTCATATATTTATATTTACATAGAAAACAAACTACATATCTGAAACAGAGGAAAGAAAATATTTTCTTCTGTATTTTATATATCTATGTATTATAAAAGCTTTTACAGTGACCATGTACTGTTTTTCCTTGTAAAAATTAAAACAAATAAAGTAAAATAAAGATCCAACCCATGTAAGAAAACACTATTCTAGGAAGACTAAATAAGGAAAGTTTTAAACTTTCCTTCCACTCTGAAATCAAAATTATTCTAAAAACCACAAATGTTTTTACATATACTAATTTTTGTTTTTCTCTCCTTTTTAAAAAAATTTTTTTTTTAACGTTTATTTATTTTTTTGGGACAGAGAGAGACAGAGCATGAACGGGGGAGGGGCAGAGAGAGAGGGAGACACAGAATCAGAAACAGGGTCCAGGCTCTGAGCCATCAGCCCAGAGCCCGACGCGGGGCTCGAACTCACTGACCGCGAGATCGTGACCTGGCTGAAGTCGGACGCTTAACCGACTGCGCCACCCAGGCGCCCCTCTCCTTTTTAAACTAACCCTCTAGTTGGTAAACCAAAACAAGGTCAATACTTCTTTCCTAGAATTCTAGCATATCTTTGGCAAACATCTTTTTGGCTACTTAAAATTCCAATTTTAAGGGTCTTCAATTCTTTGTTTCATTCAATGAAGACATACCGAGAGGCCTGTCACTCTGCTCATTTGCCTAAGAAGTTGGTTTTCTACAGCTCTGCTCCCTTTTCCTGGCAGGACTCTCAGACCTGCCAAGTCCCCCCTCTTTTCACCCCCAGCCCATTCCTGACTTCGCAGATGAGCAGGAGAACACACTACCCGCCCCTTCCCCAAATGCAGGTCAAACACAGAAAAGCACACTGGCCCCAAGAAAAAAAAGGCAAAAGAAACCAGCTACTTGTCAGACCAGAAAAGGTTACTGAACCAATTTAGTGACCTTATCTGATGGAAGCATGCATTTTTGTGTTCACACAGACCTACACAGCCTGCTTATTTCACACACGTTTTTAGACAATGATTACAGTTTAAAGGATGCTAAATCCCTTCTCTTTCTTGGAGCCAAAGCACCAAAAAGTAACTTTATATCACATCAGTTCCATTTTCCTTTTTAACACTTTCAACAGGTATCTGTACAATGTTAAGTTTCACTATAAAGCATTTTGTGGGATTTCAGTCTCTTTTTCTTCTTTTGCTTTCTTAATAATGTTTGCAGGTTTTCCAACTTAGCCATTTGGAGTTTTCAATTTTCAGTTCATAGATATGGGACCTCCATCTGTGCCTCATACTTTTTTTATATTAAACAATTTGGTTTTGCCTCCTAGAGCATTCCGGCTTATCTGTGCCCAAGGAATGGCCAACAGCTACTATAAGTGATTAGAGGGGATGTGGGAAACCTGGTGCAGAAAAATATTTTTTTTCCTCTTTGCTTCTACTTCCAATTTAACTTTATAGAGATTTACCATATTTTGTTCACTCTAGTTGAAATCTTCTTAAAGTTTTGTCATTGCTTTTCTAATATCATAGAATAAAAAACAAACATAGAAATGACACAGGTTCTGACTTTCCCTGTCTTGATTTCTAGATTTAAATTTACTCCAAATCTGATTTCTTTCATAAATAATTTCTGTTTTATAACATTATCTCTTCTAAGCAAACCATTCAAGAGAATTAAGAGTACTGAAGTTATTTTATACTGAAAAGTAAACTGAAAGAAATGTGATAGTCTGACACTAGAAAATTATCAGGGTAGCAAGTTGTCACTTTGATTTCAAAGCATTATTCTTGCAAAGCAGTACAAACAATTTGTTAACTTTACTAGTTTCTCACAAAATAAAATGTGCCTGACCTTAAGCAGTTTAACTCAGAGAAGGCTCCTGCTGTGAGGGTGGGAGGAAGAGAAAGGGAAAGTGAGAAAGGTCTTCCTTTTGTATAGGTGCCATACAAAGTACTGCAAAATGGGTAGCTTAAAACTAGAGATATGTATTATTCTCTCACCATTCTGAAACTGGGGGCTTGACGTCCAAAATCAAGGTGTTGGCACAGCCATGCTCTCTCTTTAGGCTCTAGGGGGAGAATCCTCCCTTGACTTTTCCTAGGTTTTGATTGTTGCCAACCTGCAGATGCATCACCCCAACCTCTGCTTCTGTTTTCATGAGGTCTTCTCCCTGGTGTGTCTGTATCTGTATGTCCAAATTTCCCTGTTCTTATAAGGACACCAGTCATAATGTACTTAGCACTCTAATCCAGTATAGCCTCATCTTAACTTGATTACAACTGCAAAGACCCTATTTCCAAATAAAGTCACATGCACAGGTTCTGGGTGGACATGAATTTGGGGGGACACTATTCAACTCAGTATAGATAGCAAAGCAGAAAAAGGTGAGTGAAAGGCAGTCACACAGCTGCTGCACAGAACACAGAGGCAGCTTGCCCAGAAGAACAGCCAAGGTAGGACAGAGTCAATGGTTAGTACTTCAGAAGCTGTTCCAACCTGAGCACAATAAGCCAGATTCTCACGGCTACTGCTGAAAACCAAAAGGGTTTTGACCAATCATAGGGAAGAAGATACTGACAGCTTTTAGAGAAGGCTGCACAGTACTAGTACAATCACTGCTTTTTATCCATGAGGCCTGAATACTGTGAGATTGAAGACTTTACTAAAATCATTCTACTTGCCAAAAAGAGCATTCAATATCCACTAATTGGATCAATATCAGGAATGTGGCAAACTCACACTGACAGAAAAGAGGGAAGAGGAAGAAAAAGAGGGAAGATGTTATCCTCTCAGTCTTTTTTATTAATGTAACAAAAGTTTCCTGACATATTTCCCAGAATGAGTCACAATCTCTGCCCTCATAGTCATCTCCATTCCAAGCCTGTGCATGTTTAAAGCTTTTCTACTGAATGCCCTCTCCTTCTGTATCTTCTATCAGAACTCCTGCTTCCCAGAGCATGACATGAGCAAATCTCAGAAGAAGAAGGAAGTCTGTTGCCTCTGTATCAAGGCAAGAGCTGTGTGAAAGCTGGGCCAACACAATAGCCCACAATGCTACAAATCTTAGGGAGACATCCTTTAATACCTCTTCTTCATTTCCATGAGTTAATCATGTTCTCCCACTGCTCTGCTGCCAATCTTGGTTTGGAAACAGAACAGTTGAACTGATGATCATATATATCTGATAATATCTTAGGTTAAAATCTATACTTATTAAATGTAAATGTTTCATATAATGGCAATACACACTAGTATCCTTCAAGAAGTTTTGCATTCTTCTGTTTCTTTAGTAGTTCTATAGAATGGAGACTAGATTTACCCTCCCATCTTAAGCAACTAGAAAGCTAAACAAAAAAACATGAAACCAGAATTTTCAGATATTGGGACACAGGCAGTGCAGGACAGTAATCTCTAAGAGATTGGAAATATACAAGGTGAGGTCTACAAGTGTCCCAACTCATTGTCTGGAGAAAGTTCTTATAAAAGAAAAGATAAAATGGCAGACGGTTCCATGGTGTGCTTAAATAATCTAAAGAATCAACAGAAAAAGTAATAAAAATAAATAAGAGAATTTCAGAGAGTGTCCAGGAAGATCAACATATAAAAACAATAATTTTAGGGGCACCTGGGTGGCTCAGTTGGTTAAGCATCCTGCTTAGGTCATGATCTTGCACTGACAACAAGGAGCCTGCTTGGGATTTTCTCTTTCTCTTTCTCTCTCTGCCCCTCCTCACTTATACTCTCCCTCTCTCACTCTCTGTCTCTCTCCCCCTCCCTCCCTCTCAAAATAACTAAACTTAGAAGAAAATTTTAAAAACCAATAATTTTACAAATATAGTAGTAATCAATTAAAATCATGAAGATAAAATACACCATTCCCAATATGAACAAAAACATGTCAAATACCCAGGAATATATGTATCATGTCAGGAAAACTCTACAACTTTACTGTAGACCATGAAAAAAATCCCAACGAGTTTTTTATGAAACTTGTAAAATGATTCTAAAATTTATGTTTAAAAAATGCACAGGGTAGTTGATTTTTTTTTAAAGAACAATGAATGGTATATTTATCAGTTATCAAAATCAACTAAAGGGCACTAGTAATAATTAAAATCTATGTAATTGTGACAGACAAGTAAAATAGATCAAGGATTAGAATATGGAGTGCAGAAGTAGACTCATATGTTGGAATTTAATATATAAGAAAAAAATTGGATCATAGATGGAAGAATGGATGAGTCAATAATAAACATGAAGTCATCTGGTTCACCATTAAATAAAGTAAACCACATTACTATCTCACACAATCTCCAAAATAAATTCCAGATGGATTAAAGCTCTAAATATAAAATAATAATAAAAATAACGGTCTAGAGGAAAATATAAGAGAATATTTTCATAATTTGAAGTTAGGGAGGATTTCCTGAGCAAAACACCAACCCAGAAGCCATAAAGCAAAAGAAGGCAGATTTGTTAAAAATTTAAAACTCCTATATGACAAATGACACTATTAACAAAGTTAAAAGAGAAGTGGCATTCTAGGAAAAAATATTTGCAATACATATAAGAAATGAAGGATTGATAGTCATAATATATAAGTTACTCCTACAAATCGATATTACAAAGATAAACAACCCTACAGTAAAACAGACAAAGGACATAAACAAAAAATTCCTGGAAGAAATACCAGTGACCAATAAGCATATAAAAATATGCTCAACATCAGTGTAATAAGGAAAATGCAAATTAAATCAATATATCATTTTTTACCTTTTAGAATGAAAAACTTAAAAAGATCAGTAATATCTAATTTTATAGAGTAGGAGATAATGGGGATACGCATATACTTTTTGATAGGAAAATTAATTGCTACAGTATATTTGGAGAGAAATTTTGTCTATGTTTTCATTCATTCAACAAATACTATTAGCACCTACTTCATGCAATATATTGTACTCAGCCTCAGGGTTACAGTAGTGAACAGAAAGTGAACAGGTTCTTTTCCTCATGAAGCTTGCATTCTGGAAAACAGGGAGCAGGATAGAGGAGATAACAAATAACTAAATATGTAAAGTAGGTGGGATTAAGTGCAATAAAAGTAAATTAGAGTAGGGATGCCTGGGTGTCTCAGTTGGACCACTGACCATCTCTTGATTTCGGCTCAGGTCATGATCTGACGGTTGGGATGGAGCCCCCCGAGGAGTCCTATGTGGGATCAGGCCCCTGCTTGAGATTCTCTCTCTCTCTCTCTCTCTCTCTCTCTCTCTCTCTCCCCTTCTCCCTTCCTTGCTTTCTCTCTCTAAAAATAAGTAGTAAGGGGGTGCCTGGGTGGCTCAGGCAGTTAAGTGTCTGACTCTTGATTTCGGCTCAGGTCATGATCTCACAATTTGTGAGTTTGAACCCCACGATGGGCTCTGCTCTGATTCATGGAATCTGCTTGGGATTCTCTCTCTCCCTCTCTCTCTGCCTCTCCCCTGCTCCAGTGCTCTCTCTAAATAAATAAATAAATACACTAAAAATTTTTTTTCTGTTAAAAAATAAATTAAGTAAATAAATAAATTTTAAAAAGGGGTAAGGGGGATTGAGTGATAGGATTAGGAAGATGCTATTTTACATTAGGTAGGCAAGTAGTAGCTCCTCACTGATATGGTGAGCACTGATCTAACAAAATAAGGGAATAAGTCATAAAGCTATCTAAGAGAAGAACACAACAGACAGTAGGAATGGGAAGTGCCAAGGCCCCATGGTGTAAATGGCAGGGATATTAGTATGGCTGGAGCAGAATGAAAGAGTGGGGGAATGACAGAACTTGAGACTAGAGAGTAAAGGGTGTAAGAACTGATTAGACCTTGGAAGTCATGAACAAAGCTTTGGATTTTATTCTAAAACTGAAAGTCATTGGAGGGTTCCGAGCCACAGACTTATATGACCAGACTCACATTCTTACCAGACCACTCTAGCTGCTGTTTAAAGACTAGATTCTAAATGGGCATTAATTAGGAAGCCACTGCAACAAGCCAGGTGAGAAATGCAGCCTGGGCTAACGTGGTGCAGTCAAGGTGGTGAGAAGTGGTAGATTATGGATATATTTTGAAGATGGAGTTAGGATTTACTAAAGGACTAAACATGGATGTAAGAGAAAGAGAGGAGTCAAAGGTAACTTCAGGCTCTTCTCCTGAACATTTGGAAGCTAATATTTATTGAGATAGGGAAGTATGTAGAAGAAGAAGGTTGGGGTGGAGAGGGAGAAGCTTTAATAAAAATGAATTAAATGTGCAATACCTTGTACACATTAAAATGGAATGTCAATTAGGTTGCTGGAAATAAAAGCCAGAAGTTCAGGGACATGATAGGCACTAAAAATACAATTTTTAAGAGATATCAGTGAATGTATAGTATTTACAGCCAAGGAGCTGGGTAAGATATCCTAGAGAGGGAGTCTAAATGGAGAAGAAAAGAAGTACAAAGAATGAGCCCTGGGGCACTCCAGTGTTCAGCTGTTGATAGATGAGAAAGAACCAGCAGAGGAAGCCAAGAAGAAACAGTCTCAAGGTAGAAGTTAACTGACAGGTTTATGTCCCAGATGCTAAGCAAAGAGTATTTCAAGAAGAAAGTGATAATTGTGCTAATTTTGCAGTATCCGTCAAAATGCAAAGTGAGCACACTCTCTCATTCAGCAATTCCATTTTGAACTATTAATTCTACAGATATATAAGTATATATAAAAATTGTTCTGCATGGGTATTTATTAAAGTATCATTTGTTATAGCAAATTAAATGCTCATCAATAGGGGACTGTTTAAATTATGGCGTATTGGACCTAATGGTGCAATAGGGGACTGCTTAAATTACCTTGCATTGAACAGGAGAATGAAATGCAATAATTTGAAAAAATGGAAGAAGTAAGTTACTGAGATGGAATGACCTCTGAATATTAAGTTAAAAAACTACCTGAAGAATAATCATATGGAGTAATTGATTCTAGACACAGGGAAAAGAAAACATATATGTGTGTGTTACCTGCAGAATAGGAAGAATAATGTGATGAGAGAAAACATGAGTTCCAAATCACACTTCCTGGGATATAAATTTGGCTTGTCACCTTGGACAAGTATCTTAACTTTTCTTGGCCTTCCTTCCTCTTTCTATAAAATCCCTCAAGGGGAGGTTATCTAAGGATTAAATGAATTAATATACAAAAAGGATCAGTGTCTGATACATGGCATTCAGTCAATCAGTGTTTGATATGAATAATACCTTAATAATGTACATTATTACATATAATAACCACACATATAAATTCATAGAAAGAGATTTTAAAGTTTACTCTCCACACTGGTTTTCTCTGAAGTTTGGGACTGGGAGTTGGCAGAGAAGGTGAGAAGTGGCCAAAAACACTTTATCATATATATGTTATATTACTTGAACTGTTAATAATAGACTAATGCAAATTTTTACAAAAGTAGATATGCACTCCTTGTGAAAATTTTTAACTTTTTTTCATTTAAAGAGGAAAAAACTAGTAGGAATTTATGAATCTTAATGGCTATTTTTGGTGATTTTCATTCAATAATTTATGGTTCAGCTGACACTAATAAGATAAATCAAAGAATTAGGATAATGTGAAGCAGGCAACTTAACATTTTCTAGTCATTTTCCAAGAAATATACACAAACAAAAGATAAACAACAGTGGCAATAAAAATAGAAAAGACAGAGAAAAAGAGCCTGAATAAAATGAAATAAAGGGAAGAGAATGAAATTGAGCACAAATTCATAGACTCTGAGTCTAACCATTCAGGCAAATCAAAAACCCTATCTATCACATTGGAGAGAGGCAGTCACACAGCATCTCTGACACATTTCCAGTGGCATGTATTATTAGTCAGTTATACTCTATATTAACCAAATGTAGTCTTCTGTTGGTCCTACTTATCCCACCTGAAACAACACAGAATTAAGACTCTCTCTTCACCAAGACTGACTTTTGGCTACATATTCTGGCTCCACTACTTTGGGTGGGACCAGTCCTGTCCAATGTGAGCAGAGAGGGCATTCCAAACAGCAGGTTGCTACAGTTGCTCCAAATCTAAGGCAAATACAACAAAGATTCTTTCCATTCATTGATACCAACAGATAGAACCGTTAAGACAATGTGGACGTACAACTGCATGACTTCTGATTTTGACTAAGTTCTGCTTAGAGAAAAGACAGGTATTTGCAGGAGGCAAATGTTAGAGTATGCTCTGTGCAGACTCAACCCTTTTATACATAGCTCAAAGTCTTTATTTCATTACCTCTTTCTTTGTCTTCAATACAAATCCTTCACCAGTTCTTCCCCAGACCTTCCCAAGGTGGAGCTCACCACTCCATGTATGGCTCTGCCTCTAATTACTATTTACTGCATTTGCATGTGTTTTTTTTTCTCATTATAATGTCATTAGCATGCAAGGGAGCCTGGTTGCCAGGGCAACCAGGAGTGGTGAATGCACTGCACAGCCTTTAATGAAAACTTAACCCTACTTCATTTAATTCCCACTGTGTTTTTTGGCTCACTTCACTTTTGTGGTTGCAAGAATGAAAATATCCTGTAGTTACCCCTGCTTATGTAGAGCTGCCCCAAGGTCTGGGGAACTTCATGTGTTCCCCTGAACATACTAACAACACTTTATATTTATCGTAAGTAACCTTGATAGCCTCCTCTGATAACAATAAATTATCATTCTGATCAACACTGCTCACTCAACACAGTCCTTTGAATTTCTTGAACAGTCTATTTTTCTCAGATTAAATAGGTTTTTCAAATTTGATATGATTTTTGCAGTCCTTATTCACCAAACTGCCAGCCCCTGAAAACATTCTAAATGATTTGGTTGAGATCAAACTCACTACTTCCATAGCATCCTGCCCATCTGGTAACCGTCTCAAAACAAAACAAGAGATTAGTTTGACATGACTTTTTTCAGCCAACCTACAAAGGTATGCTTATCAAAGCTGGGTATAATAATAATAATGATGGTTTCTCAGCTGATCAAATCCACATTTAATTTAAAAACAAAGCAAAACCTCCATTACAACAGGCAAAAATGAGATTATACTCAGTATGAATAATAATCAAATCCTAGGGGCGCCTGGGTGGCACAGTCGGTTAAGCGTCCGACTTCAGCCAGGTCACGATCTCGCAGTCCGTGAGTTCGAGCCCCGCGTCAGGCTCTGGGCTGATGGCTCGGAGCCTGGAGCCTGTTTCCGATTCTGTGTCTCCCTCTCTCTCTGCCCCTCCCCCGTTCATCCTCTGTCTCTCTCTGTCCCAAAAATAAAAATAAAAACGTTGAAAAAAAATTAAAAAAAAAAAAAATCAAATCCTAAAATTGGGTTCAAAAATCCAACTACACAACCATAGGAGCTCTTGCTTATTAACAGTAATGCACACTTTTAAGCCACAAGAGCTAAGATGCCTTCAAGTTCAACAGAAGCCAAAGTGTGACAGGCTGTCATGTACAGATTTCTTGGAACACAGTTTGTAATTGTTATACTTGCAAAGTAAGGTAAGGACAGCAAGGTCAACAGTATTGTAGCACTGTTTTAAGAAAGCATATCTTGTATGAACCAGCAACTAATGACCATAAAAATCTTTTATTTTCTGGTATCACTGTCTTTTACAATATGAGGAAAGACAGTGGAGCCAATCACTGAAGTAAGGCAGCCTGAGGAGTAAGAAGCCAGTAGGAAATGAGCTCTCACTTCTTATGTAGCTGACCTGGAGAAGAGGAATGCTACTGTCCAATGAAACCAGCTGTGATGACAGAAAACTTTCTTGTGCTGTGCAAAATGGTAGGCAGTAGCCACTTAAAGTGTGGCTTGTGCAACTTTAAGGGAACCAAGTTTTTGATCTGAGTTGATTTTACTTATTAATTAAAATTTCAATTTGAATTGCCACACGTAGCTAGTGGCCACCATATTCTAAAGCATAGCTACTTAATAAAATGATGGGGTATTGCAAAGTAAATGTTCTGATGACATCT